ATGGGCGACGAAGGCTGCTGGGCTCCCACCTGCCCCGGTGCTGCTGGACAAGTCACCCCACGCTTGCATGGGCAGACCGAGCCAGGCCCGCCGTGGCGTGGGGTGGAGACGGCCGTGCCAGTCCTGTGGACAGCGAGTGCCAAGGTGAGGCCAGACGGCCGATGGCCCTTGCAAACCCCTGGCCTTCCCCACGAGCCGCGGGATACGAGCTTGGCACCTGGCGAAGAGGCAGCTGGGTAACTGCCTGCAGCTGCTGCATTTCTGGTGCCATCCCAGCGCCCACAGCTGCAGCACAGCCGTGCATGGCTGCTGTGCTGCGCCCCATGGGTGCTGTCGCTCATGGGGGGCAAGGCCTCCGGCAGCGATGCTGCACGCAGGCGATTTGGGCTGGGGACCTCGACCATGCAATGCGTGAAGGGTAAAGCTGCCGGCGCCGGAGGCTGGGACACCCTGCCCTGCCCTGCCCGTCGCCCCAGGCCTGGGCTCTGCTGCCAGGCGGACAAGGCAGGGAGATTATCAATCCTGGAGGAGCGCCAAGGCAGCCGCGCTCTGTCTCCCAGGCTGGGAGCAGCCTGCTGCAGCCTCTGCCTCCCGCGGCCCAGGGGAACCAGGCTGACAAGATGTTTAACCACCACCTGGGAATGAGTTATCACATTCCTGATGTGCGACCAGCGAGGATGCAAAGGGACTCCCCCCCCAGCCAAAATACCCAGCGCCAGAGCAGGGACCTTCCCTCTCCTGACAACGGGCAGCTGGAGGCTGGTGTCTCCCAGCTCCAGGGCCAGCGGGGCAGCCCTTCCTCCCCGCTCCTGTGAAGCAGCCGAAGCCCCGCCGTGCAAGACCAGGGCCCTGCCCGGCGCACCCCCCCGTGGGAGCTCCCACCTCTCTGGTGCCCGGCTGCCGGCGGTGCTGAGCACGACCAGGGGGACATGGCCAGCAGCAACATGCGCGTGGCTTCAGGGCTGCGCTTCCTGCTGCGCAACTGTGTAGGGGGGCTCGGGACCCGCAGGCTGCTCTGAGTGTTTTGTGACCCGGGTTTTCCCCTGCTCCTGTCTCCCTCGCACGCACCAGCCCATCGAAGGTGCAGGCAGCTCTGATATAGAGGCCGTGTCCCTCACTCCCTGCTCAATAGCTGCTGACGCCCCTTTGCTCCAAGCACGTGTCTAACCCCTTTTTGAATCAGGCTGAGCTATCAGCTTCTGCCACGTCTGGTGACCACAAGTCCCACCTTTAATGACACGCCAGGTTGTTAGTTTTAAGCTTACTACCTGCTAGTGGTGATGGGACCCCCAGCTCTTGCATGGGGAGAGACAGTCAGCAGTAAGTCTCTCCCGCGGCCGACAGCGGTGCCCAGCAGCAGCAGAGCAGACCCCGTGGGCTGTCAGGGCTGAAGAAGGTGCAAGGTCCCTGCAGAGGATTGGAGGGCTGAATCCTGCTTGGAGCATGAAGCAGCGGGTGTACGTGCGAGTGCGGTGCTGGCACTTTCTGCGATGGCAGGAGCACCCTGAGGCAGCAAGCCCCGGCCCCTTGCTGAGCTGCCCCATGCAGGTGCCGTGGCAGGGCACCGTGGCGTAGGCACAGGACTCGGGCTGCTCCCCTACCCGGGCAAGGCCAGCAGCCACCGGACCGCTATCCCAGCACAGCCTCCCACTGCCCAGGCCGGGGAACCAGTTGCCGCAGCTCCCCAGCTACAGGGGCCCACAGCCCTCTCCACAGGTCTGGCCCCAGCCTGGTAGCATGCATCGCGCAGTGGTGCCAAGCCGCGAGGTGGGCAAGGCCGCGAGTGCAGCTGCAGGGGAAGCCTCGGTGCTCTGCGCGGTGCCCGGGCAGGAGGAGAGGGCCGAGGGGGCCGTGCTGGCGTGGGAAGGTACCCCTGTGATCCGGGTCGCTGGCAGGCTCTGCGCAGCACGTGCCCACCCGCCTGCTGCTGCCCTCTGCCCCGTGGCCATTGGGTTTCTTAGCACCGTGGCATGTGAAGAAGGCGACTTGGTGCTAGGAACAGGCTGCTCTGTGGTGGGCACGGGAAGGAGGATGGCGGTGGCACGGTGAATCAATCAAACATTGCTTTTAAAAAATCCCCCAAACTGGAGCAGGTGTACGCGTGGCTTTGCAGCAACGAGCGCGGTCCCGACCTGCGTGGCCAGCTGCCACCCCCACGCACTGCTGGGGGCTGTGGACGTGGTCGGTGACCGATAGACCACGCTGGCCAGAGCAGACTACGGACCCAGCCAAAACCGCAGGTAGAAGTGACCTGAGCTTAAGCTGGTCTCCAATCAGTAATCAACAGCCTTGCATTTAAATCACAAGCAGTGGCCTGGGAAGGTAGAATAAGAATCTGCTTTCCCAGTCTCTACTCAGAGTCTCGGCCAAGACGAATAATGCTTGTTGGGAAAGTGTGTGCAACCACGGCCCTGTTGCCTTTTGATGACAGTGGGGCTGTCCGTGGGCGGCCAGACGCTTCCTTACCCTGTTGACAGCTTTGGCCACTTTCAGGCAGCTCTGCTAATGACCCTGCTAACGACTCCACTCCAGCTAAGTTGCAGACATGCGGTTAAGGCAGACCACAAAGCCTGTCTCGGAGTGACCCTTCGCAGACTTTGCAACTGGCCTCATGGAAGCAGAAGGTGGCAAGTCGCGTTCCCAGGTGGGGGGGAGAGAGATGCCTCCCCCAGAGCTGCACTTTTCCCAAGGACGCAGGCCCCAGATAGGGGAAATCTGCCAAGTCCGCAGGAAAGCTGGTGCAGTCCAGGTAGGTCCCAAAGCCTCAGTGAAACAAGTCATTTGAATAACACCAATCACAACATTTATTTCAATAGATATGGGGTATAAACAGGGGGGAGTTTGGGAAGACCTCAGCAATTCAAGCCAGTCGAGGTGGGGATCGGTGTTGTGCTGCTGCAGATAGGCATAGAGACGAGTGCTTATTTATATGCCTAGGGTTAAATCAATACAAGGTGGTTATAGACCTGTCTCTTGCCTCTTTATCCGACTTGGAGGGGGGTAATACTGCACTGCTAAGAGGGGATGGAGGATCACTGGGAAGTGGGTCTGCGAGGAGGGGGAACTGGAACCGTCCCTGAATTCTTGCAAAGAAGCCAGCCGAGATTGCAGCGCTCCCCGGGCTGTGGCAGAGGTGGCGGGCAGACGAGGCTGCGATGGTGCCATCGGGGCTTGGTGGAGGCAGGAATCCAGCCCAGCCCGACCGCGGCTCCTTGTGGTGCCATAGCATTGTCGCTACGGCGTTGCCGGCTGCACTTGGCACGGTACAGAGCTCAGACCAGATCATCCACCTGGCTAGTCCCTGAGCTTGGGGGCTGCCTGTGTGCTCAGCCAGGTGCCCCCCTCTTCCCCTTTGTAGCATGCAGCAGCCCAAGTAGCTACCTCTGTGCCAGACGCACAGCACTGAGGGCAGCCAGCCTGGCACCAAGCCCCACTTTGCCTGTGAGCTGGGCCTGCAGGACCAGACCGAGGTGGCAGAGGGGAGAGGCTCCCTGTCCCTGACCAGCCATCCAGCAGACCGAGCTCGGCCTCCAGGGAGATGCCCACGGTCCCTCTCTAGCACTGGGGCCCTGTGGGTCCTCAGGCTCCTCGACCAGCCATGGCAGGCGAGGAGCTGCAGCTCCGGGCTCTCCCTCTCCCAAGCTCCTTGCCATGCCGCCTCCACCGCGGGCTACTCTGCACAGCGCCCCGTCTGTGCCGAGCGCTGCAGCACCACGGCAGGGTAGTGCCAGGGCACTCTCCCCGGACGGCTCAGCCAGTTATGCGTGTCCTACATAACAGCAGGGGACTGGCAGCCTCCAGCCCGCCCGTGTCCCTGCTGCCGGTGTTATGTAAACTGCGGCTATTGTTCGGCAAGGCTTTTATAACGTGTTAGTCACGCCGGGCTGATGCGCTGCGCTGCTGGCTCAGTGGGGTGGCGTGCCCGCGGGGGGGATGTGGGTCACCTCACCGTGGCTGGATGTGGGATCAACCAGGCCAATGTCCTCGGGACGGTGCAGTGCCTGAGCTCCACCTGACCCGCGTCCCACACGACACCCGCCCTGCCAGAGGGCTGGCATCGCCTGTGGGCAGCTGGGCCCTGCTGGCATAGCCCCTTGCCCACGTCGCTGCTCCGCACCTGGCAGCGCAGGGGTCCGGCGTGGCCAGTCCAGCGGCTCTGTGCTGCTGGCAGGGCGCATGCTGTGAGGTCCTGCCCCGGGTCCTCAGCACTGGGGCTGGAGCTCGGCTGTCTGCGGGGCGCGTGTGTGAGCAGCAGGCCCTGGCTATTGTATTCAGACTGGTACTGCACGATCTGCTGTGCAGGGCCGCAGGGTGACACCACCACCCCGCCTGCCCCAGCCAGGGCCGCTGAGACGAGCACAATGCTAAAGGCAGCAGGGAGGGGACGGTCCCGTGTGCGCCCGCCACGCGTGCTTGGTGGTGCGGTTCTGGCACAGATGCCGGGGGCACTGTGGTCTGTCGCACCTTCTCCCTCAGCCCCAAGGCTTGGTTGGGCTGGGGTTTCAGTGCTGGCTCCACGTGGGGTTTATGAATGCGATGCCCAGGGTTGGGCTGCTCCGTCCACTGCCAGCTGAAGGGGCTTGACCCCAGTCACGTCCCCACCACTCCCAGCTGCATGAAGAGGGCTATTGCCGAGGTGCCCAGCACCGGCCTCCAACCTAAGCGGGGGGCTCAACTGAGCTCCCTTGGCTCCACGGAGGTCACTGTGAAAAATATGAAATGACCCCGCAGAAACGCACCTGCTTAGTAAAGCATCTCTGTTTACTGCTGCGCTGAGGCCCGGCTCCTAGCCCGGCTGCAATCCGCTTGATTTTGTGTCTTTCTAGTTTCTTAATGAAACTCGTCTGATGCCACATCAAAGGTCTGTCACATTAAGTGTGTCCCTTATCAGCCAAACTCAGTCTCATGGGACAGACACGTCTTTTGGCAAGCGGCTCTCTGTACACGCATGCTGATGATAAACGGTGTTAATAACCCCCCTCCTCCACTGCTGTCTTCACTGGGACAGAGTCCCCGGGCGGGCAGGGACCTCTGGGGTCGCCTGGTCCCCCCTTGCACGATGCACGAGGTGCTGTTCCCACCCCCCAGCCGAGAGGGGATGCCCGGGGGCCGCACGCTGCAGCCAAGCGCACGGCGGGGCAGCTGCTGGGCCCCTCCAAGCCGGCGTGGCCGTGCCAGGTGCCCGGGCAGAAGCGAGGGGCCGGCCGAGGCAGGGTTCCCACGAACCGTGGGAGCGTTTGCTCTCACGACGGGGCCTGGCAACACAGCTGGCATCTCCGGCTCGGGGCAGAGCCGGGCTCTGCTCGCCGGGCCTCGGACGCGGCCAGGAGCCCGCTCGCCAGTGACTCATAAGATTGCAGCGCAAGTGGGTCAGCGCCGCGGTGTTTGTAAACAGTGCGGTCACATCTGTGCAAACACACGCATGCCGGCTGCGCTCTCCCCGGAGGGGCCGTGTCGCGCCCCGCCCCGGGGGATGTTTGCGGAGGCAGCGCCGCACCCCTGACGCAGGCAGCGCCTCGGCCTGGCCGTGACCCGGCGCGTGTCAGCGGGAGTCTGCCCACTGCCCTCGGCAGGACACGGGCTGAGCCACGAGCAGGTCAGGCCTGTGCCCGGAGAGGGATGGGCCCGGGCCCGGGCCCGTGCTGGGTGCGCACCGTGGGGGCAGGAAGCTGCCCTGGGGGCCACACGCTGGGTCTCTGCCCCAGGCTGTGTGCAGTCTTCGTGGGCAGTCCCGGGCAGCTCAGCCGGAGCCACCCACCCCGGCGACGAAGGTAGCGCAGACCCCTCCTGCCGAGGGCAGCGGGTGGCCGCACTCCTGGTATCTGTAGCCGGTGCTGTGGCCCCACGCCTGGGACCTGCCCCGTGGGCCAGCGCCTGCAGCCGGACGTGCCCAGCGGTGTGCGGCTCCCGGGAGCAGTGGGTTTGCAGCCTGCCCTGCCCGCCATGCCAGCTCTTCACGCCCAAATTGCTGCTGTTTGTTCCTTGCCTTGCCCAGAGCCCCTGCCCTGAGCGGGCCCCGCGTTGCACAAACACCTGCCCCCGGGAGCTCGCAGTCCCAGCCCAGGCTGCGGGAGGACAGATGCATGCAGCCCGACAGGCGGTCACGGCGCGTGGGCTGCCCGCTCTGACGCAGTCTCCAGCCCCGTGTGCTGCCTCATTTAAGCACAGACCGGCAGACAGCTCGTAACTGGGCTGCATGCATGCCACAGCGGAGGGCTGCAGGGAAGGCAAACGTGGCCCTGGGGTGGCTGCTGTCATCCGGATGAGCTATGCCCACCTGCACGGGAGGCCCCAGCAGCGGTGCTCTGCTTGCCGAGGTGGAGCTGAAGCGACAGGTCCCACCTGCACGGACTTTGGTGCCGGCACCATCAGGTAGCGACGGGTGGGAGACCCGGCAAGGAGGCGCTGGAAAGGGCAGAACCAGCCGGGGCCGTCGTCTCTGGACGAGCCCGGGGCCCGGAGCAATGCAAGTCGTGCAGGACGGACGGAGCAGACGGGGAGCATCCCTCCCGTGCCCGCGCGGGGCGGGGCGGCCGGCCAGGGGCGCGCTGCACGGCACTGAGCTCGGGCGACCTGGCACAACGAGTCCAGGGGAGCGACGACCGAGATCACCTGGCCTCTGCCCCCAGCACCTGATGGCCTGGGAGGAGCAGTGAGGGTTTGAGCCCGAGAGCCGGGGCGAGAAGGCCCAGCTGTCCCAGAGCGAAGCGGGGAGCTGGCAGGGAGCTGGTTTTCACGTGGTGAGGAGCACGGCACGCACCGGGCCTTGTGGCACGAAGGCGGCGGCTGCTCTGACACGGCCACGGGCAGCGGGCCCTCCTTGTCCTGCACGTGCCATGGCGGGCAGGCGCGGCAGCCCACACAGGGAACTTGTCCAGCCAGCCGCCGGTCTCTGCCCCCTGCCACCGCCCCTGCCCCAGCTGGCCTGCTTTGCAGCGGTCAGGGACACGATCACCGCTGCAGGGCACGGGCTGGCAGAGTCCGAACCGCTCCCGCAACCCCGCTGCACCGCCGCCGCCCATCTCATCCTCCACCGTGTATGCTGATGTGATCGATGCCTCAGCAGCAGCTTCAATTAGAGATGTGATTTCTTCTCCTCTGAGACTCTGCCGGCAGCCGGGGCCAGGCGGGCTGGGCGCATTTCTTGCAGCTGCTACCTGGACAGGAGTTGTGCCCTCCTGCCCGGCCGAGCCCTGAGCCCGCGATGCCAGCCCTGTGCCTTGGGCCGTCACGCACTCGGGTGCTTGTGCTCGTGCAGCACCAGGGCTCAGAGCGAGGGGTGGGTTCCCGTGGTCCAGAGGGATGCCCTCGCACAGCCGTTGCACGGAGCGTAGGGGGCCCTGCGTGTGTGCACAAGGGCTGGCACGCCGGTACCTTGGCACCGTATCAGCTGCTACGTCAGCGCTGCGAGGCACAGGCACAGCCCGGGCACCTGAGCCCTGCCCCACTTGGTCCAGCCTTGGGCAGCTGGGAACCATTGCCCAGAGCGTGAAACTCCGAGTTGGTGTCAATTGGCACCACCAAAGGTCTGGCTCTGATTTCTGCTAAGCTGGGAGAGGTGGCCCTGGGTGCCCGTGTGAGGAGCCCCCCGCCCACCTGGCTGCAGCTTGCTCTGTACTGCGGTGCTCCCTTTGGGGGGAGTGCGGACAGACACGGCTGGATGGGTCCCTGCAGGGCCAGAGCCTGCCCAGAGCAAGCCAAGGGGCTGTGTCCAGGCCACTGCCAGGTCTGAGGGCCCACGTGAGCTGGCACAGGTGAGCTACGCCACCCCCAGCCCCAGGGAGCGTGCCCAATTCTGCGCAGCTGTGGTTGCACCGCTCGCAGGGCCTGAGCGATTGCAGCCAGCGCTGGGGTGTCTGCCCAGCCCTGCCGTCATGGCCAGGACGCGGGGCGCTCGCAAGCCAGGGCAAGTTGCCCCGAGGAAACGGGCTGGTTGGTTCTGGCAGCGAGTGACGGGCAGGGGCCGAGCAGCGAAGGCACGGGCGGATCTCAGTCTTGCAAAGGGGGCACACATGCCGCACAACGCCTATTTCTCTCCAGGTCGAGAGAAACTAGAAGCTTTGCCAATACGCTAATTAAATGAAGGGCTATTATCCAGATTTGGAAACCAAAACCTACTTGTCTCGAGCCTCTCGACAGTGCCTCCAATGCTTCGCTGCCGACCTGCAGCAGGTCCGGGTGTTCGGTCTGTGCTGAGCCGGGGCTTAGGCTACGGTTGTCTGGGGTGGTTTGCACAGGGCTGAGCCTGCCTCGGGCAGGGGCTGGACTGGATGTGACCTGTGGAGGTCCCTGCCAGCCCCATTTCTGCACGGCTGAGTTCATAGGACACCCCTGAGGGAAGGTTTGTAGCTGGAGCGAAGAACGGACCGCAGGAGAGACATCACCAGGAGTGGCTGCGGGGCAGCAGACTTGCAGAAGAAGGGGTGGTTTGAAGAGCGGGACGTCGGGACATTAAAAAGGAGAGAGGGCTGTTCATACCCATGGCGTGAAATTAGCAGCTCTCCCCCAGCTCTCCCCGCACCTTCTGCTGCCCAGCCCCTTGCCCTGCCTGGTCCTGGGCACTGCAGGGCCGCCCACGCTGCGGGGCAGGGAAGCCGGCCCAGCCCGGCTGCTGGGAAGATGCAACGAGAGGCCTGCGCTGGTGCAGCTGCTCGTGCCGCGTGCAGGTCCTGCCCCTGCAGGCCAGACGCGCTGAGCACTGGGGCAGACCAGCTCCCCTCCCGCCGCTCCCAGCTGCTGCTTGCCTGGAGCCACGAGTAGCGGGGCAGCATCCGGGCAGGGACCATGGAGGTGCCAGAGGGGATCCTCCCTGCAGCACGGCTTCCCTTTGCCCAAGCTCAGGGGCAGTTTCCTGGACCCGCTGCCCTGGCCCTCCTGGTGCCGCAGGTGGGGAGTAGAGGTGCGGTGAGCATCACAGCAGCCTCAGTAGCTCCCCCTCCCCCCAGCTGCTGAGCAATAAGCCCCTTGCGCGCGCTTAAGGCTGCTTGTGGCACCACCCGAGCCACTGAGCCACTGCCAGCAGATCCCTGGGGTGTCAAGAGGCTTTGGAGCTTAGGGCGGGAAGCGCTCAAGCTGCTCTGAGCCCGGCAGCGGGAGCACGGCCACGGCAGCCCCTCGCTCCCCCTAGCACAGGCCCAGCCCACAGCCGCTGAACCGGGCGTGAGGATGGGGCTGTGAGGTTGCTCTGCACGCGTGGCTAAAAGGCCCCAGTGTGCTACACACACACGACACTTGGGGGATCGGAGCAGCCTTTTCGCTGTGCTGGGAAATATGCAGAGTCTGGCACCTAAATGAAGCAATTGGTTGCAAAGCTATTTAAATAGTGATTATGCCATGACAGCCCACGGGGTGGGAGGACGGTGAGATGGTTAAATAAAGCCAGGCTTGCTCGGCCCTTCGCGCACCCCTCGGGCATGCTTGGAAGGAGCTCCGCACATAGCGCGCCGCGCTTTCCACGACGGGACCCGACGGCACAAACCCCTGACTCCCAAAGGAAAGGTGCCTGCAGCGGCATTTGTTTCCGCGCACGGCTGTTGACAAGCTCTTTGCCTGTAACGTTTCTTCCCCACGCAGGCGTCTCGCGTGGTGCAGACGGAGCAGGGGCGAGCCGCGCTGGATGGACAGGTACAGCCTGCCTGGCTGACCGCGAGGTTTTGCTCTTGGGCAAGTTCCCTGAGATGAATGCGAACAGGCCGCATCTTCGTGCTTCTGAAATCCAAGTCTTGCTATTTCCTTTCCCTTAGAAACATCGACTGAGTCACGCGGGAAGCAGGCGCGTGCGTCGGCCCCGCCGGCCCATTGTTCGCTGCTGACCTGGTTTCAGTCCATTCATCTCCCGGCTTTTATTTTGCGCTGTGACAGTTTCCAAGAATATCTCCCCACCTTGGTCCCTGCCGCCCACGGCAGCACCACGGCCGCAGCCGGAGGACTCCCTGGGCCGGGACACAGTGGGACAGCTGTCCTGGACGCTGGCAGATGGGGAGCACGGCTCTCCCGGTGCCCTGCCCCCAGC